TAGAAGCCCATCTGCTAACAAAGATTGAATAATTTGAGACTGTATGGCAACGGGAAATTTAAGTATCAATAAACGGAAGTCGTTAGGTTGTCAGTAAACCAACAGGAAAGGGAACCTTAAGTCCTTACAAGATTTTTACAGAACTTAGGAGATAGAATCTTATTATAGCAAGTCAGTCTTTCGCAAACCTCACTATAATAAAATGTAACCGCTGTGATAATTAAAACTGTTGAGTGAAAATACAAGAAGCTTTAGTTGTTTAACTGTAGTCTAGATTTACAGCGGAATATCTTTGAAGTCCTACTCCAAAGATATGGTTCGATATGTAGATGATACGTTTACAGTACTGATATAGGAACATATCAATAGGTTCTTGCCAAGTATAAATTCAGTAGTAAATGCAATCCAATTCACCTGTGACTTCGAAAGTGAAGAAGGTGAGCTAGCAGTGTTGGATTGCAAGATAAACGAACAGAGGACGGAAGTATGGAGACTAGTGTCTACAGGAAACCTGCCAGTTCCGATCTCTACTTGAACTTCAAATCCTCCTACCCCATTTCAGTTGAAGTAGGCTTAGTTAAATGCTCAAGTGATAGGGTGAAAAAGCTTACCAGGAGACCGGAAAATCTGCGACAAGAAGTTAGACACATCAGGATACCCTACATCTCAGTAACTACCCACCTACATTTATCAATGAAGTCATACGAAATCGAAAGAAAAATATTAGCAGTGGTAGTAGTAGTAGTAGTAGTAGTAACACAGGTGTTATTAATGATAATTCTACCACTGGTGGTAATAATGGTGACAGGATTGAGAGAGAATCAAAGCCTCTACTATGTTGTCATACAAGGAGGGCACCTGAGAAGCATTGCGAAGAATTCTGAATAAGACTGACTGGGATTAAAGTGGCATTTAAAATAACAAACTGACTTGGAAACAAGCTTTGTAGGTTAGAAGATCCTATCGATGCGATTAAGCAAAATAATCTGGTCTACCAAATCCTTACAATGATTGCGAGTTCAAGTATACAGGTATAAGCATTCAACTAGCCAGGGTCGATTAGAATAACAGAACACAAAAACTTAGCTTAATGAAGATTGTTAGGTCCCAATAAGATAAGAAGTCTAGTGGAAAGCTCGGCTATAGCTCTGCATGCAATGACACACAACATACTGTAGGATGGGATAGAGCGATAGTGTTGCAAACTAACTTAGTTGGTTGGAGGGAGAGATTGATAACGGAATCTTCGTTTATCGAATACACACCAAATACATTCAGTAATAGAAATGATTCTGCACCTGTTCGAGATATATGGGAAATTCTACTACCCTTGTCGTCACAGAGAAGAAGAGAAAATTAGGAATATATCAAGTCTGTCACGAAGTTGTGGAGTTAGTTGCCTGATATGAATATGGACAATAAATTGTATCCGAAATGTTATCCAGTAAATGCTACTGTTTAACTATATGATGTTTCTTATAAACAGACTAAAAATAAATTTACAGTGGAAATCTCAACATGAAATGACATCATCCACAAGTTATTTACAATCTTCATTCAATGAATATTCAACCTGAACTTTGCAATCTTTCAGTGATCATGAAGTGATTCTGTATATATATTTATACTCAAATAATTTGCTAAAAATGAGGTAGATATTACAATTAAGCAAAAGATTTGATAGGAAGCTGTCCAACTTTCATCAACTAAAATATCAACTGTCTTTTATTGAAATCTTTATTCAGTGTACATCCTCAAAAGATGCCATATCACTTCTGAAATTTGTTCATCATTCTAGGTTTGAAGCAAAATCAAGACGACTCATTGTTAAATTAGAGATAACTATTACCCAAGCTTATTTCTAGTGAGTAATGATGAGAGATGGAATAGAAATGTTTGCCTTACGAGAATTGAAAAGAAGTACCCATTTAAACTCAAATCACTCAGTTTAACAAAGCAGATGAAGCCTGGAAGGTACGTTACCATAGAGTCCCCTCGTAATTACTCTTCACTAGTATATGCCTTACTAAAGTTATTATATTGTTGATTGTATCAGTCTATCTTGATTAGACCAAATCTATCGGCCCCTAATTGGTAAACGGGTTCGATCGCAGATGCCACATTACTATCTGTTGTTTCGATCTATGGTACTGGTGGATCTTTGCTAAGAGCGAAATCAAGGATGAATGTTTCGCCACATTTTAGACTCATCAGAGACATTGTTCCCATTAAGAATTGAACCCTGGACCGACTATTTTAAACACGAAAGGGTTCCCTACTCATTTCTTGTTGAGCGGATATAGTTTTCATGTTGTTGCCTGTAATTTTTCATCATTGATTAAAGCAGATGGATCCACTACTAACCAGTATCAATCATTACTATACTATAGTCAGGTAATAATATGAATAGAGTAGTTATCATCTTCTACTGCTTATGTAAACTGTATCAAAGACTAGTATACAGAAGATAATGAGATTGAAATTCAAACTAGTGAATATGTGTTATTTTCACATATTTCTTATTACTGAAGGAGACGAGTTCAATAAAGCTTAGGTTCACTGTTATTTTAGAGAATCAAACATCTTTTTTCATAAGATATCTGGTTATATTTTGAATGACAACCATATTTAGTGGTGTCTTCCTTGCATGTAAAAAGTTAAGGATATTTCTCTCCATAGTATCACCAAAGCAAAGTCGTATCGTTATAAAAAGCAAGTCCTAACTTGAATATATAAATACTTCTTGATGATCTGGTTAGAAAGGTCGAATAACATTGAAATCTAAGATTGTTAAAAGATAAGAGTGATAAGTTTGACCTCATAAATACGAAATCCGAAACACTAATAACATTAACAATAACATGTTATCAGGATTCAGACATCGTTTCTACAATTATCAACCAATTAGGTCCTAAAATTCATGGAAATGGAATACTAAACTGTAAGTAAAGTACAGTATTCCCACTTTCACCCTTAAAATAGCACTTCTATTCATTTTCCAACCTCCTTTGATTTTTTCCGTCAAATAAAAACCAACTGGAGGTGAACTAGGTGCCAACTAAACACCATTGTAGGTAGTCACATTATATCCCAAAATGATAGAAGCAGGTAACTGTAGACCACTGAACTCCGACACAGTGGTTGAATGGCTAACGTGGTCTCCATGAAACCTGGCAGGGTCGTGAATGTCAACTGCAGAAGACTGTGACACTAGAACGCAACACTTATCCAGTGCTTACAGATTCTCTATGGTTCTCCAAATTATGTCATTCGTTGATTAATGCTACTTTCTTTGAACTTTAGCATCATTAACCAAATGTAGTTTTGCACCTTCGAGGAAACTCGTCTACTCTTGTTCACTATAAGTATATACTTATAGATTTTGGCATAGTAGACGATAACGTACAAAGAGTTACATACCCATTCTTATGCTGTTATCATCTGCGTGATGTGGTAGAGATTAGGTAGATTATTGTCACTCAGTAACAGATTTTTTCACTGAACATGCAGCACCAAATGGTTTTCACACAAGAACATTACAACAACTCAACTTGGTGATATAAATCGATGTGGTGTATTGAACAAAAGTGTAAAGGTAAGACACTTATCAGAATTGTTAAGACAAAATAATCAATGCAATCATCCTTCTCATACAGACTGTGTACGAATGGATGACATACTCTGGTATATATCTCGGAGTGAACTTTCTCAGCGCTAAATACTACCAGGTTTAAAGCAAATAAGTAACGTGTAAGCATCTTGCTATTGATTTTTACCATTTTCACATCTTCTTGGCACACTCACAGTCCATAGTTCAGCGATCCATATACAGATAAGTGTTAACGTTTTCCTCTAACCTAACGTTTTTACTTCAAACCAATAAACAAACCGTCTTACTGAGCGCTGTTTACTATACAACGTGCTTTATTAGTTGTCTTTTCTTGTCACTGATTACATGTTGGTAAGATACTAGTTGTTTATCTGAGACTGGATCTATGTTGACCAATAACAACACAAACACTCTCTTACAGTTTGACCAGTTTTATGGTTAGGAAAAACAACCCTTTATGAGTTGGGTGTATCGATGTAACCAGCGTTTAAATTATTATTATTAACATTATTAGACTATTTCTTGGTGCAACCAGAGTTACTACATAGATTAGTAACACTTAGTAAGGAAGTGCTTGGTTCGTTCTTGAAGTGCCTTTCATCTGTTATTGCATAATTTCATTACCCTATTTTCTTTCTTGTCGGTATGGCTACAAGTTAATTGATGACAGGAATACAATCTTCATGGGTTGTAACACAGTGGCAAGAAAGCGAATAATCAAGGCAGGAAAATTATTCAGGAACCTATTTGTTAACCTATCACCTCTTTATAAATATTCTATTTGAATAATAATTTCTACCATAAACTTGATATTCAATGTTAAGTCATACCGGTTTATGCAGAAAAGTGTGAGCCATGGAGAAACACATTAAGGAAAACTCTTGTTAAGATATATCACGGTTTTTCACCGCATAGGGAGTGGTTTAGTTTGCAATAGTCATGTAGACTGTTACCGTGTTAGCTGATAAACAGGTTATCGACAACGTCAGATCTACGTAAGCAATGATTTTTGACTAGGGTATTGAAAAACCTACCACTGTCACTTTGGTCAATACTGAGATCCAGAGAACTTACCCAAGAGGATAAAGCCTGAAGGTCTATGTTATATAGTCTTCTAACCATCTCTATTTGGGATTTTTAAAGAGGGGGGGAAGCAGCAGCTGAATAGAAATGCATCATCTGAATAGGTCACAGACTAAAAGGAAAGGGTCTTATTGATCGAATTGCCAATTATGACTGCATACGTTTAAAAGCTTCATCTGTTATAAATTTTGTGCATTCATATAAGAAACTGATGTAAAAACAGAAACTGGTTAGCTCATACCCATCTCCTATCACTTATGCAGATGAAAGTGCGAAATTGACGAATGAAACTAAAAACGAAGCGGTCTAATTCACTTCACGGTAATTACTAGTTACTTTATTTACAAAACTACACATTAATATGAAACACACTTTCAGAAATACTTTATGTTCAGTGAAATATAGTGTAGACATCAGGAAGAACATAATTCATACGGAGGAGGTGGTCCATACTCATGGTAATGAGGCAATGGAGTGACATGAAGTCGAACACATCGATCCTTGATATATTTACGATATAATTCTTTGAGTGCATCCCGAAGATCTTGTGTATTTGTAATTTGATATACTCCATGATCGCCTGAAAAATAAAATAGAAATGAATTCAGTAGGACGATCTTTGAAAGTTTCTACTTGGTACTGAGATCATTCAGTAAGTTGAGCAATCACACAATTAACATTTTATTTAGGTGGTTTTGTGGGGATTCATTAATTTCAAGCCAGTAACAATCATGAACTGATACCAGTTAGAGAAAAATTGGAAACTTTGGAGTACTAGACAGCTGTTTCATCCCAGGAAGGGACTCCTCAGTAGTGTTGACCCATCACCTCGCCAAGTTCCCCCCCATGATTGGTGACTTGCTTCGAGATGTGGTTCCTGAAGTTCCAGTGAGAAGTCATGACCGGTTACGTAAATTTCCCGGACGTGAGAACAGATACTCAACGATGACATTCAATGATGGCTGCGCTATGTCATCAAACCTCAGAAGTATGGAACATGGACCACTGGACTCCGACCCAGTAGCTTACTGGTAACATGCTGACCGCGGAAACTAAATGTCCTGGGTTCCATCGCAGGTGGCGTGGGGTGGTGGGTACGCATTACTGAGGAGTCTAATACTTATAGGACGAAACAGCATTTCGGTGCCTCGAGGTTTAAAATATTTCTCCAATTGATGTCAGTCCATGATGAGTACCAAGTTGAAATATTAACATTCTTTTGGTCATGTATATAACTAACCATACCATGATAAGTAAAGGTAACTGGAAGTCAGTTTCTCTCCACTCTTGGTAATGATTTGCACTGGGTAAGAAATTGCTGTATTACCCCTCTCTGAAAGTTATCAAAACTATCTGAACAGTTGAATTGTGATAAAATACATAAATATTCAATAATTAAATGAATATTTTCCCTCTAAATGACCAATAATTGTCCTCTGAAGTCTTCACATATCTTTACACTCATTTTTTCTCATCATCATCATCATCATCATCATCATTTTGTTATTAACTTTTACTGTAGTTTTCATCACAAAATCCCTCAAATATATAATTTCAATTTCAGTCTTTAGTTTTGCCGCCTTGTATCCTAATGTGCTCATACAAAACATGCCAGTTAGGACTCTGATACCACAATCCTAGACCCCGTATAGACACCAAATAACTTAAACCACAGTATCTATCAGTCACCTGGACACTTTAAATTGTTTGAATGTAATAGTAATAATAATCGCTTTATTCCAAACAATATGTATGATACAGCATAGAATTTTTCAATAAATTCATTCCCAGAACAATATTCTCAAGTGAAGTGATTACTGAATCTGAATTATGTTAATAATAACAGTATTCAATGTAATAGTGTGAAACAGCCAGCTGATTTTAAACCAGCGTCTAGTCCCTAAAAAAGAATTAACAGAAATGTGAGTGTAAGTTTCATGGTGACTGTTCACTCAACCAGTACAAGAATCTGCAACTGAAGCTGAATATTGACAGAAGAGAAATATCGTTATATATGTTTGCACACTGAAATATCTACTTCCATGTAATGTAGCATTTTTTCGCTGTTTTGTTGTTAACTCGAGGTACGGCTAGTTGAAAATATCTTAAAAATGTGCGACAGTACATGGTACGTTCAAGGAACATATTTAAATGATAAAGGATTCTAGTAGCCCAAGTTCCAGGCTCGATTTCACACTTGTTACTTCTAGGAACCTGCCGTCGTGAAAGTTCTGAAAGCCTTTTATTTTGACAGAATAATATGTATGCTAAGATAATTATCATATAAAGTGATGGACTTCGGTTAAAGTTGAATGTTTGTTGATAATCCTAATGAATTACATTACCTCATTTTACTGCTCGCTGACACTTAGCAAGAAGTTTCATGTATGACTTAGGAGAACATCATTCCACGTGCAAAGTTTTCTATTGGAGTGTTGCAGTCAAGTACGTCATAAAAAATCGATTCTGGGGAACGTCAATAATGTGACCGTGTGTCGGGAAAGGACGTAGGTTCTAATAATTAGTGAAGGAAATCAGAACGCAACGAGATACTTAGACTGGATACGAGTAATACGACTGTTCTCCTCCACACCCTATACTTCACTGAGCTGCGAAAATCAGAAGACGAAAGACGGGCCTGTGACTGGCTCAAGGAAGGCAGTTTTACTTGACAAAAAACATAGTACTTATATACAGCTGCTGTTCAGAAAATGAAGCCACTACATCACTAGATCAGATGAACATAAATCAAAGTCTGAAACGAAAATATTTCTACCCCAACCGTGAATGACCTTGAATAGTGATTTCCATTTTCGATCACTTCCTAATAGTCTGTCGCCAGACTTAATGAAGTGTGCACTTGATTCAGAGGTCAAATCCTAGAAGGTCTTACATGAAGCTATTCACGGCCGACAGATAAATTATCTAGGAGCATAATAATTGAAATAATGGAACCCAACCTATTACATCTATATTGTATCGCATAAGATAACTTATAAGCTACAGAGGCTGAAAACAGCTGTCCACAACTCTATGGTAAATGCTTGCACAATATTTACTTTTACACAGAGCTAGTAGTGACCAAATTATTCAGAAAATAAACCATCATTTATACTGAAAAATACACTACTAAGCGAATTGAATGGTAAGAAACTGACTCAAGCTGATTTGTAGTAACCAGATCACAGTGATTTAGATACCGGACGGACGTTTTGCACGTTCACGGTAGAGTTCTTCATTAGCGTACCTGGACAGGTTCAGTTCAAATAGGAACCGAATTAGATAAGATTACCTGGATCTGGCTGACTAGCCACATGGCTTGCCTGACAGGTGTACTAAAAATAGGATAGCCAATTTGCAAATTCTATTAAAAGTTTTATCTCCATACCGGTACCTTTCACCGCTGAATAGTTTTCCAACTTTCGCTATGATGAACACCGACATGAAAAATCACTAAGTCACCACTCGAACCTCGAAAACTAAAAGGTTTCACAAAAAGCCAGAAATTCTACATTTAATTTTCAACACATTCTTTCCAAATTCATTCTATATTTTCCAGCCAGAAGTGGGGCATATATTTGCAAGTTAATGCAGCTGATATTTCCAAAATTAGAATCTTTTCACAATGTGTTGAAGACCATCCACCAGTGGGACACGACCAAAAGCGAGATAAGCAAGATTATGTTTCTAATCCACTACCAAATAGCTGACATTGGTTACAATGTTGACATCACATCTGCTTCTCAATGAACCACAGGCAATCGGATCAAATGACACAAGTAGCTGGAATTCGCCTTGTTAAAACTTCTGAAACTATATCTACAAAAATCGTGAAACCTGAACTATGTCTGCGAAGTATGGCTTCTTCATCTTACGACGATATCAATCAGTTAGATGTTTATTCGTCTCTTCACGAGTTGAAGAAAGAAAACGTGATGCTTAGTTGTCGTTTATTCTCTTGTTAATAAAGAACTACGAAGGAGTGACAGATATTCAAACGAAACAGGATTTTATCTGAGATTTCAGTGGTTTGGAGCATGATATAAAGTGTTCCAATTTCACTATCAGCATTACCACTGATATTCTCAAATTTTCCCAATCTGTCAAGTGGTTAACATCTCAGTGTTGAGCATAATGAACTGACTCAACCGTTGAAAAAAGGCATAGTGAAAAGTGAGAATGATACCATTCGCTAAGAGGTAACTGTAGAAGTCTACCAAAGAAACTAGATCTTGTTACCAAATATTCCCGATCGGTGATTTCCAACATCTATTGATATTATAAAGTAGTTCCAAGGGAAAGTGAAAGACTAGTGACCTTTACTAAGATGCGCGTTTCGTGACTTCAAAGGAATTACCCTCATCACTCTCAACTGTGAGTCATGTATGATCGACTTCGGTGAGCAATACTCACAAAAACAGTCATTCACCTAAATCTATACTGGTTTGATAAAATCTCTCCATGCTGTATACAGTTTACCGACACCTCTCGAATGCCACCTCAGATCTCTCTTCCATATAAATAACAATATGGAAATTTCACATTGATGTACACCCATCATCCAGAATGTCTGGGGTAACCTGACTTATTACATACAGTATCTCACTCTCGATAACCACCTCGTTCGTAGGCAGTAGAAAATATGGTAAGACGAAGGAAGCTTGACTATTGGCTTATGTTATACTTCACAGTTGCCTACCATCAAGCCACTTCTGTTCATCAATCCAACTACACAATCACATGTATTATCATGTGATCTCCTCCAAATTCACAATGCTTTGCTGATCTTCACACTCATCAACAATGTAGTCAGTAGATATTACATCCTCATAATGGAACAGTGTTATTTGCTGGATTACGTATCAGACACAACTGATTGTCCATAGTCATGTTGAATTAACCGCATAGCTTTGAGACATGCAACACACAACTCTAATTCCCCTTCCTGTTTCGCGATGTAGGTGGTAGCAATTTCGAGATATGTGGAACAGGTTCTGGTGTTGACTGATGTTTATTCGATAAACAAGCATTCAGTTATCAATCTGTTGCTCCACTCTGGAAAGCCGTATTTAGGGATTTCCACTCTGTCACATCTTGTTGTGTGGCCGTGTGTGTTTGTGTGTGTGTGTAATTCCATGCATGGCTATACTCGAACATTTTTCCACATTCCTTATCTTACTGAGATTTGACAGTTTTCATGTGGTCGGGGTTTTGTTGTCGGATAGTCTAATTGATGCTGGTCGACTACTTCAATTTATGTATTTGACCTCCCAATCACTCCAACCGAATCGGTGATGTAGATTACTCTACCTGATTGGATTAGTAGAATCTTTCATGCTACAAAACCTGTTTCCAATTGAGATTTTAGGTTTCAAAGCCACTCACATCTCAGTCAACTTGATTGAGAATCCCGTCTAATGTCTCTCTTACATGCCTTCCTTCCTTCCTTCCTTCCTTGAATGGTAGTCACTGTAGAGACTTTGAATTCTGTCTTAACTAATCGTCATGATTAGGAATGCTACTGTTAACACGTGTTCTACCAATATTAGTCATATTTCTCTTGTAATAATAAGGAATTTATCAATCTATTTTTGGAGGTAATGAATGATGAGTTTTATGTGTCTTTAGTGTATCTTATTTGTTTTCTTACTTACATCTTCTGTTTTACTTGTAAGTTAGTTGGCGCTGTTAGTTGGGAATTTAACTGAGCCAATTTTAATTGACATAGGGAGTTCTGACACTAGTGTCTATTGGAAACTCCATAGCCATTAGCAAAGATGGAGTTTACATACTTCTTGTAAACAATAATTTAGTGCTTTTCATATTGATTCACCTTAGTTTTATCGTTTTATTTTTCTAATATTTCCATATGACGTAATATCCTCTAGGTAAATATGTATTTGCTCAAGTTATTAGTCCTCACGTGAAGTATTATTTAGTAAAACTTATCAAGTTGCTCCTACTTGTCAACAAGACTTAGCACTTATAATGGAAGTGGAATCCAGGACACTGGAGGTGGCCAGCGTGCCCCAGTGGTCGAATAGACAATATTCGACTTTTGATGCGATGGGTTTCAAATCTTTGTGGGGATATCATCACTCACTGGGTTGTAGGTACTTTCGGCCGACGAGCGTCAAAATGAACGAAACACGTGTTTTGAAGACTAACGTGGCTTCTCAGGAAGTCTTATCAAAGGAGTTTGTGCAACTTCATGTTGAACTTCGGTCGAATGTAATTTAACTTCAAACATTAATCCTCCTACCGATACAAGGTACATAGCGTTCTAATTGTTAATACCGATGGATAGTGGCTAGCAGTGGAATGCAGGATACACATTTTGTCCTATTTCGGACTGGTTAGCTGAGGGTATCTCCTTTCCGGTGAGCGATGTTGTTCCTGCTGGGACTCGAACTGGGGATCGGTAGCCATAGCGTTATCCACTAGACCATAGAGTCACAATATCTACTTTTGGTGAGATAAGTATACTTTAATGTTGTCACTTGAATTATATCATCGTTGATTGGACCGAACTGATTGGTGTCTATTGGCTTATGACCTGCTGTCTCATGGGGGAATGACTATCGTATCTTTGGGTACAGGTACATCCAACTGGCGAGATTGAAATAAGAAAAAACGATAGTCAAGCTGGATTCTACTGCTAGCCCCTACGCATCATTCATGAATAATTCAAACACAGGCAATATCGAGACTTGCGTACATGAGCCTATATGCCAATAGGGCTGATCAATTATGTCACTCAATGGCGGGATAATATAGCCAACAACAATAATATTGTTAAGTACTGTATCATCAACAACTGCCTACACTCGTTACTGAAGCTCAGATGGCCAGAATGAATAAGCAACAAGGAACTCTGGCCTACTAACGAACCTGTCGCCCAACAAATATGCAGAAGGAAGTGAAGATGGATTAGGCATACAATGAAGGACCGACTGGGGACTTCACATGCCAGGCCAGATGCTCGAATGGAATCCAAAGGGTAAACGATGAGTTGGGCGTCTGAGGCGAGGATGACATGGAGGAGATTGTATGAGGAAGAAATGAAAGCTTGTGGATAGTCGTGGAGCCAGGTTCAAAAGATCTCAGAGAACATAGTGGAATGGAGGTGTGCTAGTGAAGGCCTATATTCCCCTAGGAACCTAAGGGATAAATAAATATATATACAAGAGATACATCCATCTTGACTTACCATTCCAGTGGATTATATAATCTTTATATTTAAAATTATTGAATTCATGCAATTTCTTCAAGATATCCGCAAATTCTAGTATATAAGTTGGCTTTTGTAATTTCCAAAGGAATATAATTTTTTCATCATAACCTTGTTCCTTTTGAATCAATTTTAATATGACCATTAAAATAGTTAACAATGGAAAAAAACTTGTAACATAAAATTCTGTTTAAGTGGAATCTACTTATTACAAATAGTTATTTAAACCAATAAAAGACTTGAGTAATCTATCTATGTAGTGATTAAAAAAGGTGTCATATGATGAAAACTTGTGGTGAATTTTTCTACTGATTATTCAAAAGTATGGTATGTTAAGAATTCTAGAGATTTTCTACTGCATACATACACGTAATTTGTGCATCTCTATATATGTGAATTCTTATGACTATAAGTCTTTTTTTTTGTCTTTTCTAGAGAATTTACTCGTATGATCAGACATACACTTTCACTTGAAAACTATATTACTATTGTACTTTATTATTATGTCATTTATTTGGTTTTAACTAGTAGTAAATTGGATGACATGCATTCAGCCCATTTACGATTTGTCAACTGAATGTACTGGGATCCCTCCCAGTCAATGGAATCGTTTTCATTGACATTCAAACCTTGTACCTATGACTTCAAACACTAAAGTGTTGTCCAATAGACCAATGAGATAAGAAACCACCTCTTGTATAACATCATATCAGTTACTACTATTAGTTGAATAACAAAGAACCTCGAAATATCATCTAACATACGGTCCACAGTTTGATCCCTAGTAGCATCATCGGTAAGTACTGTTGAAGAGTTGTAAACAAGGATTGATTTCCAAAAGTTCTGTATAAAGCGTTACGTAAACAAATCGTTATACATCTAAGTTTGTATAACGCATGACAAATTGATAAGAGCCAAGGTGATATGTTCAAATAGTGACATATATCAACGACGTTCGTAGATGTTATATCATTTCAAAGTTACCAAACGCATACTTTCAAAACTACCCGGTATATTTCATGTTCTGATATCTCTGAGAATACGCACATCACGATTCCGCTTACAAACTACCAATCATCCCATTATGCACACATCTTGCAGCCAAAATCATCTACACCTACAGACAACCACTCCACATATCACTTCAAATTAATTACCTCAATCAACCAAATTTATCAAGACAATCACATGTTGGAGAGTAGAACTATTGATATTCCCCTCTCTCTTCATGGCATAACCCAGTTAAACAACATCTTCAGTTGTATTCATCAGCTTGTTGTTTCACAAACCAGTATACACCAGTCTACAATGACAAGTGAACTGATAGATGGTTGGTGAGGTAATCGGAAGCACTGCCTATCATTAACACATTGATAATTATTCGATTAGAGCATATGATATGCATGTTGAGTGTGTGAAATGTGGTTGTGGGATTTGTGAAGAGTAGAGGATTTTGAGGATTTCAGTGGCAGTATGGTGAATGAATTTCAGATGTAAATGAATAGGTGTGCATTGAAATGATTGATGTCTTTAGTATTTGTAGACTTTCTATCATGTGCAGTGTATGTTTGCAGTATAATTAGATGTTTCATAGAAATTTTGATTCATTGTCCAATATATTTTCGCAACAGATATTCCAAATCCTTCAACACAACCAACATACAAGGTTCTTTTAGCATTACAACCTAAAAGCCAGAGCTGATTAAAATAATGACGTCAGTATTGTAAAAGTACTGGATAGTTTGAAGGTGAAGAAACATTATCTATCACTACAAGTTGAGATAATTCGACTTCTTAGTTGACAAATGTGACTCTTTAAAGGTGTGGTCAGTGACTAATTTACAGAATCTGTCTCATTCTCATGTCAGCATTGTTAATCAAACATGTGGTTACTAATGTCAAGTAACTTGTAGAGTTTCCGGTTATTCACAGTAGAATAAACTTAATGAGCTCATTTAGGAACAAGTTATCAGATATGTTTATTAATGATAGGTAGCTGGTAGCAGTGGAATCCAAAATGCGCATTTCGTCTCATTTGGAACTCTTCAGCTGAATGTACCTGCCTCCCAGTGAGTGATGATGTTCCCACCAGGGTCCGGACTCGGGAGCGACCGCTTCAAACGTGAATCCCGATGGAAACAACATCACTTACTGGAAGGTAGGTACATCCAGCTGACGAGTTCCACATAGGACGAAATGCGCATCCTAGATTCCACTGCTACCCACTACCTATCATTACTATACATAATTGAAACACAGGCCAAATTGAGGCAGCTGCTCAGGAGCCCATATGCCAACACAGACTGATCAATTCGGTCCAATCAACGATGGTGTAATACAAGCAATAACACTAAAATTATCAGATATTTGTTTGGGTATGCATTGAAGAATAACATGAATGTTGCTGCTGTTTATCAACGGTGTTTTTATACGTTGTTTAGACTCCAGTTGTTTGATGTTTATGAGATCCCTTTTGCTGTGCACCTAATACCACACTAAGATTTTGTATTTAAAAAACTTTCCAGTTTACTTAGCACTCTAATTTGTAAAGAAACTTTAATGGAAATTCAAAACGTGCTACGTCATCTGGCATCACCTGCACCTCAGTGCGTGGTGTTTTTTTTAACTGGGACTCAAAACCAATACCGACCACTCCAAACGCTAAAGCTGTATGCACTGGATCAATGAGGTATGAAAACCATCTCATGTGCAAACAGTATAAGTTATCACCATCTTTTGATATACTTGTAGTTCTTCGTAGTTATACTGAGTCGAAAAAGTCGATCTCTGTTGACAAATAGGTTTCTATGTGGCTGCTTCGATATTCCATGAATGCTGACGGTTATCATTAACTTTTATAAACAGGGGATTAAAACAATATCAGTCAATCTATTCATACGTTTCGGCAATTCTAAGAGCAAGTGAAAGACTAGTGACTTTTACTAAGATGCGCGTTTCGTGACTTCAAAGGAATTACCCTCATCACTCTCAACTGTGAGTCATGTGTCATCGACTTCGGTGAGCAATACTCACAAAAACAGTCATTCCCTAAATCTATACTGGTTTGATAAAATCTCTCCATGCTGTATGCAGTTTACCGACACCTCTCGAATCCCACCTCAGATCTCTCTTCCATATAAATAACAATATGAAATTTTCACATTGATGTACACCCATCATCCTAGATATTACTCCAGAATGTCTGGGGTAACCTGACTTATTACATACAGTATCTCACTCTCGATAACCACCTGATTCGTAGGCAGTAGAAAAGATGGTAAGACGAAGGAAGCTTTACTATTGACTTATGTTACACTTCCAAAACTATTTCACACAGTTACCTACCATCAAGCCACTTCTGTTCATCAATCCAACTACACAATCACATGTATTATCATGTATTATTATTATTAGTCCCTTGGGTTCCTAGTGGAACATAGGGCTTCAGTAGCACGCCTCCAGTGACCTCTGTTCTCTGAGATCTTTTGAACCTGGTTCCACGACAGCCCAGAAGCTCTCATTTCCTCCTCGCACGACCTCCTCCATGTCACCCTCGGACGTCCAACTCGTCGCTTCCCATGGGGATTCCACTCGAGGGCCTGACGCGTGATGTCCTCAGTCGGCCTTCTCAGTGTATGCCCAGTATTATCATGTGATCTCCTCCAAATTCCTCAATGCTCTGCTGATCTTCACACTCATCAACAATGTAGTCAGTAGATATTACATCCTCATAATGGAACCGTATTATCTACTGGATTACGTGTCAGACACAACTGATTGTCCATAGTCATGTTGAGTTAACTACAATGCTTTGAGACATGCAACACACAACTCTAATTCCCCTCCCTGTTTCGCGATGTAGGTGGTAGCAATTTCGAGATATGTGGAACAGGTTCTGGTGTTGACTGATGTTTATTCGATAAACAAGCATTCAGTTGTCAATCTGTTGCTCCACTCTGGAAAGCCGTATTTAGGGATTTCCACTCTGTCACATCTTGTTGTGTGGCAGTGTGTGTGTGTGTGTGTGTGTGTGTGTGTGTAATTCCATGCACAGCTATACTCGAACATTTCTCCACACTCCTTATCTCACTAAGATTTGACAGTTTTCATGTGGTCGGGGTTTTGTTGTCGGATAGTCTAATTGATGCTGGTCGACTACTTCAATTTATGTATTTGACCTCCTAATCACTCCAACCGAATCGGTGATGTAGATTACTCTACCTGATTGGATTAGTAGAATCTTTCATGCTACAAAACCTGTTTCCAATTGAGATTTTAGGTTTTAAAGCCACTCACATCTCAGTCAACTTGATTGGGAATCCTACCTAATGTCTCTCTTATGTGCCTTCCTTCCTTCCTTGCTTGAATGGTAGTCACTGTAGAGACTTTGAATTCTGTCATAACTATATCGTCATGATTAGGAATGCTACTGTTAACACGTGTTCTACCAATATTAGTCATATTTCTCTTGTAATTAATAAGGAATTTATCAATCTATTTTTGGAGGTAATGAATGATGAGTTTTGTGTGTCTTCAGTGTATCTTATTTGTTTTCTTACTTACATCTTCTGTTTTACTTGTAAGTTAGTTGGCGCTGTTAGTTGGGAATTTAATTGAGCCAATTTTAATTGACATAAGGAGTTGAGACACTTGTGTGTATGAGTAGTTTTAACTCTCGAATGGTTATTTGAACTTGATATGTTTTCAACATCATATACAAGCAGCAGGTTTGACTCAGTATTTGTTCTTGATATATTAAAAACTCCAAGTACCTATAACACAAATGTTTTGATAGTATTAGAAGGTCTACGTTGATGATGTCTCAAAGTTTTAAAGCTATAGTGGTTTAACTATGGACAATGAATTATATTGAAATGGTAATTTAGTTAATTCATACCGTTCGGGTGTGTGATAAATCAGTTAAAATGGAATAAAACTCCATCGTATCGTGCAAGTTTTACTCTGAAGTTATTATTATTAGTAGTATTATTATAATATTATATTTTTATATCTTAACAAGGGTTAACGCAGATGTCCATCCTCATGAGTGCAGTTTAATCTGCACAATATTTACCGATAGAAATGAACAAGAAAGATTCTGTTCACGTTTTTCCCAGGGTAAACTTCTTCAACCTTAATTGGAAATATTAAGAAACATTTACAACATAAGGCTGATGAAATTTTTATAGCAAATGAATTTACCATATTTAGCATGATCATTTGATAACTGTTTATGTCATCATTCTAGTTTAATT